TATCCACCACTTAGCAACATTTTGAGGCAAGTAACAGCCCTTATGGTCAAAGGCCACCTTTCGTCATTTAGTTCTCAGATGTTTTGGCAGTCAGGAAACAAAACAATCCTCAGTCATTCGCGAGGGTTGCCAGTGAAGCTAATGTGGCCCCCAACTAGTTTTATCGCCATAAATGGCAGAGACTTCACCGTACAAGTATGTAGAAATTGAAAGTACACACATTGTAGATATAGGAAATCACCAACTGCAAGAAAATCCACACCAAACCGGTGAGACAGATTTGGCATTCATAATACTTTCTCGCCAGGAGATGTTCACACAACGACGGTCAAATGCAAATGAAGCATAATGAAACTTTTACCCCACAATGCTTCACGCGACTTGATCACCTTCCTCTGATTCTGCCRTGGCTTTCTTTATTCTGCCGTGAGTTTAGTTTATTTTGCCGTGGCTTTCTTTATTCTGTCGTGAGTTTAGTTTATTTTGCCGTAGCTTTCTTTATTCTGCCGTGAGTTAAGTTTATTTTGCCGTGAATTTATTGCCTTTTGCCGTGAGTTTAGTTTGTTTTGCCGTGAGACTTGTGGGCCACCGTACATAATTAACAACAATGCTTAAAAATACTAAATATGTTCCTATAAGTGAGTTCAGTAGTTTGTCGTAATTCCATACGGACGATGGGGTGGAGCAATCCATAGGTTGTAGATTGGCATTCTACTACAGTATGGAGTTGGCTGAGTCAACTGGGGGTAAAACGTCTGAAACGGCTGATGTGTTAGTCTGGGCTGATAAGGTACCGGTGCCTGATATGACTGCATGTTGCATGGACCACTGTATGGATTGGTACTGTGCAACAACACATCATACCCATACCTTGCGGGTTGTCTTCTTTCACGTGTCGGGTACCTAGGCTCTTGATGGGACTCTTGAACTGTATCCTCATGTGATCCATCTGTATCATCTGTAGATACGTCTTCTACTATCTCTCCTTCCGCTTGAGAAAGGTTATTTCCGCCTTCATCAGTATGGTCCTCTTGAATGTCAGCATCAGTATCAGCATCTGCAATAGGTACCAACTCACTCAAGCATGTTAAGGCCTGGGTTATGAACCAATTCTCTATCAAACCATTAAAAAATCATTTCTCTGGTGTTTTTGCTTAAAGTATAACCAGCTTTCTCAAACTTCCTTAGATCGTGGTTCTTTACAAATTGATTCCAATAAATGGGAAAAATTTAGGTCACGTGACCACGAAATTTGCGTAAAAATTCATTTTAATAGTAGGTGCTCAATTTAAGTCTTTGTTGAACGTTTTCAATCTCAATTTATTTCCTTTCCTGAAGTCCTTCAATTGACGTTGAGAATGGTTGGCTAAAGTTTTGTGTTAAGGAGATATTTTACAAAATAGGTCACGTGACCTGTCAAAATATCCTTTATGCCCATCCTTCTCCTTTCGTAAACATTTTGGTCGACCATTCCAAACGTGCATATCTGTATCATTGTTGCTACTTTCAAACAAGCTAAAGAAATCTTACAAATAATCTAAAACCATCACCTAGTTTTTCATTTAGCATTTTCCCTCTTTTAAGGTCACGTGACCACCTTTTATGCAAATTTATCAATCCAAAAAGTTAAGCACCCGAAATAGGGATAGCTGTTGCAATCTCATTCAATTATTACATCTAAAAATGAGGATTCTACAGTGAAAAGTAATKTTTGCCCTTTTGAACAAAATCCCAGGCCTTGGACTACACGATACCACAGGATACCCAATTATAGAAAATCTAGTCAACCAAGCTATCTAACCAATAAAAACTAAATATTACATGTTTTTCACGAAATCCACCAAAAGCAAACTTAACGTTTTGATTATATTATTACATGTTACGCGACTTAGAGAACTTTAAGTTCATTACGACAAGCAGTAAAGCGAGAAATGTTTTTTATATCGACGAATAAACAAAATGGAACAAAATAATTCGACAGCTCTGCTGGATTTTAGGCGCTGAAAAAATTCAGTGCACATCGTAAAGGAAACAAAAAGCCACTTAAGGCTTGACAATGGTACATTCTAAGGATTATTTTATAATATGACTAGATTATTACGCGCGCTCTGATTGGCCAAAAACCAATGAACTATTTCCCCATGGGCTGCAACTCGCGCACGCTGATCTCAACGGACGCTCGCCTTTTTTCTCTAAATTTTCAAACCCGATGGCGTCAATAGCGCGCGCACGAGCGAGATGGGTGATAAAACGCGTGCTCTTAACAAGCTAGTGTCACTCGGCTTCGCCTCGTGCCACTCTTTCGCTTGTTAATCGTTCTTTATATTCTCTCGTGCGTCGACACTGGTGAAAAACGCACTGCGCACGCTCGGAGATGGCATAGCGTAACTAAGGGCAACTTATGTTTTTGATGCCGGTGTTTTGATTGTTTTACAAAATCGCAAAACTTAAGAAAAATGCTGAAAACTTAAGGTTGTCCTTTTCGCAATAGCAAGATAATTTCGATAGTGATACACTGCYGATTTAAAAAAAAACTTTTGTTTATACAAAGCAAAAATAATCTTTGAAAATGCCGCAAACTCGAGGCCCGTCGTCGACATCCAGCATGGCTAATTTGCAGATAATCACATGGTCGGATCCTATGTAAAGAAATCCAAAAATATGTGTAAAATTCCAAAACGAATATTTTAAAAATAGCCCTGTCGGTTAAAATAAAACCTACCTTTACATGTGATCAATTGTTATTGTCCGCCATTTTGTTTTTTTCTCCCAACGCATGCGCAGTGTGTTTTTCATCAGTGTCTCGTGCGTCTATATCGCCATGGGCGCGCTCTTTTATGTCGTCTAACTGAAAATTATATTGTTATGTACCACTCTATAAAAAAACTAAACTAATAAACCACTTGAATACAAACCCTCGTAAATATATATTGATGATTACACTTATTTAAAAAAAACCTTACAAATTTATGATAAACAAATAATAAATCATAATATTTGAAACTCAGTTGTCTGTCTGTCACACGTTTGTCTGTCACAACTATATTTGTGTTTGTCTTGACTGTCGTCAAATCACACAATGAAAACTAATATAATAATAATAATAATAATAATAATAATATTCATTTATACACGATAAGTTATATACAGCGTAGCTGATGTGGTCGTGTTCTAATCCTAGGTCCTAAGCTATACTAGTCCTCTCACTCTCACCCACGCATATTAATAAGCTTGTATCAGTAATCAATTAAATCGTCCACTACGATTTAATAAAGTAGACTGTCATGGTCACGTTATCGACGATATACGAGATCGAATGATGCATGACGTCACGAGGTCCATTGTGACGTCATATTTCATCTTTCCTCTCGTTATCTTAAGAAGTACAAGTGGCAGGATATGACGTCATGACGTGATTCTTCCATTACGTCATTTTCTGTTTTCATTTTTGAACGATCCGAGCACAGGTAGCCCAAGCTTGGTTTCTGTGGTGTCCTGTTATAAGGAAATGTATGGGGATTCAACAAAAATTTCAATAAAATCATCAAAACGTGAAATAAAGC